CCAGCCCAGTCTGTCAGCGACAGAACGGTCTGCTTTGTTTGACTGCTCGCTGACCAAACACCATCCGCGTGTTTGGGGCTTTGGTTTCTTCTCAAAACACTTCCAGGCTCCTTTTTCCACCAATCTCTACCTAACAGGGACCAATTCTTTCTGCCCAGCCTGTTTGTCCCCCCCAGTCTCCAGGGCCTCTTAATTCCCACCACAGCCCAGGGGCTTCTCCTTCAAGAGAGAAGACAGAGCAGGCAAGAAGTGAAGCGGGGCCCGGGATGAGAGGAGGGGCTCTGCCAGCACGACTCACCTGCCTGACTTCAGCAGATCTGTGCAGGCCTGGAGAGGACGGAGAGCACAGGTAGACTACAAAACCCAGCGTAAGGTGTGTGTGGAGGGGTTTGGACATCAGGGTGATGGAGAGATGTCTGAAGAGCAGTTGCCAGGAGGGGAACAAAACTCCGGTACCGGAGTTCATTGCCAAACACCTCCTTTATCCCTCACAAAGACAAACCAGCCATTGCCCAAAAACCACATCAGGACTGTGTTTAAAGCATTTGGTTGCTTCACATAGTTAAAGCTGTGTCCCCTGTGGACAGAAAGGGAGGAGCTGGAAGATGGTGGTTTGACCTCCTTTCGGACCCCACAGCGGAGCTTTGCAGCGCTGAGCGGGGCCAAGTTTGGGTGATGCTGGGGTCACCCAGCCCTGAGCAGTCACACTGCGGGGCCAGCAAGGCGGAGGGGTCATGGGGCAGCGCAGCAGAGAGGGAGCCAAAGGCATCGGCAAGGAGGAGTGCCCCAGGGACTGGCCTGCAAGGAGGAGCCTGGTGAAGGGAGAAGATGAGTACCAGCCCTGAGGCACAGCCACCCTCACCTGCGGGCTTCCAGTTTCCTGCATCAGTGCTGTCCAGAGGATGTTGAATTTTGGTGATTATTTTTAGCTCAGCCTGCTGAAGAGCGTGTGGCCCTTGTCGGGAAGTGGGAACTTCCAAAGCAAGACCAGCATCGACAAACAACAGGGAGGGGCGCGAGGGCTGCACGGTTTCTCACAGCCTGAAATAAATGCACGAGCCTCTCTGCAACTGCAGATGTTGCTGCCTGCAACAAGCAGAAAGGTTATGCACAGCCTTCTGAGAATGCAAAATGCTCTAAGTCACAAACCAGAGATTAGGACCGCGGGGCATCTTTACTGGCAGGGAAGCAGGCGGGAGAGCTGTGCTGGCGTGTGCGGGGCGACGCAGCGGGGAGGCAGCCCTGCGCTGGCATCCCGGGACTGGGGAGGCTGGAGCTCAACAGCGAAGCTGTAACGTCGGGGCTTTGTCAGCTACGATGCTACATCTCTGGGCTGATCCCCACATCGCCGTTTCACGCCCAAAATACATGGTGTTTTGTTGCTAGCACAGCCTGAAGCCCAGCTTATGTTTAGTCTCCCCTATAACTCTCCTTCTAAACCATCTTGCTGCAGCTCTGGCTCTTAAACCCTGATTAAACAAACCTTTACTCTGGGGCTGGGAGCCGTGGGGAGACGCGGGACACTGATAACCCAGGGGCGTGCTGCTCCCATGCGGCGGCTGCCCCTCAGCAAGGGGTGTGCAGGCAGAGGAAGGATCAGGGCTTTGGGAGCACTGGGTGCAGGGTGCCTTTGTTGTCTGTCCATGGAGGACCACCCTGGGGTTGTCCTGCTCCTTGCTGGCTTTGGGGCCAGGGTCTGCTCTGGTCCCTTTGCAAGGGAATAAAGCCTCCCTACAGCCCCGCTCCACAGCGCTGGGGAACTTGGGGGTCTGTAGATGTAGCTGACCCCATCAGGGTGCTCAGGGGACACGTCCACTGTGGCCAGGGAGGGCTGGCAGGAGCTACTGGTGGAAGCTTCTGAAAAAGGTAAAAACAGGAGCAACACAGTGAGGGGACAGGCAGACAGTGGCTGGTCCCCTTGGGAGGGAGCGTGAGTGGTGGCTG